GCAGAAGTACTTTTGATGTAGACAAAATTAACTCTTCATATAAAGTACATTCATAAATGTAGATTCCCATTCTGAACACTGTAGCCAGGATCTAGTCATGAATAAAGTTTACCGCAATGCATGCACTTAACGGTACACAGGGAATAAATGGGATACTGAAGAAAAGTAGATGTCTAGAATTAAACTCCAATAACTTCTAAGAATCCTTTTGTTCCCAATACTGATTTTTTTTTTTAATTTTAAAAATAACAGTTTCTGGCAACTTTCCTCTATATTCCTAGTTAGTTTACTAATGCTGTCTCCAATTCCTAGTCTATAGTTGTTCTCATCCGTGTTAAAACTTGAATGAAAGGTCAGGGTTTGTTTTCCTTTTTTAAATATACATATTCTGTAGTATTTACTTACTAAATAGAAGCACATACTGGAACAAGCAGTTTTGTATTTGCTGTATTTTCAGTTTGTCATCAGTCTGTTTTTTACTGCATAAAAATATAGTGAGCTTGGACAAGAACGATCATAACCATAATTTTTTGTAAAAATAACAGGGTGCAAACCAATTCCGACTTACACAAGTGTTCGTAAGGATAATACCTGCTTAAAAAGCTCCTGAGACATCCAGACCCTCTGGGATTCTAAACTAAATTTAAAAGGACAGGTTCACGTTTGTTCGGCCATAGTTGAATCTCCCTTTTCTCTGGTTTTTAATTTTCATACTCGACAAATTTTTGACCTTTCTTCTTTAAGAACAAAAAAAAATATATATTTGAGGAACTTTGTTGTTTCTTTTTCCCCCTCAGAATTACTGATTTAGAGACAACACTTCTCAAGCAACAAGGAAACAAGGCAGGGATTTGCCTCGTGTTCTTATAATAAAAGAAACTGAACTTATAGGTAATGAATAGTTAAATATCACAGTTTAATGAAACTTCCCAAAAGACACACACAAATAATACTAAAACATATACTGGGAACCTTGTCAGAGGTACTATTTAATAGAAATGTCTTAATTTGGTCACACTTTGGATAAACAGAGAACTGTTGCTAGTGAAACGTTAGACAGAAAACTCACTGCAAGACATATCTCAATCACAAAGCAGTATCACAATCATGAACATCTCCAATACTAAATGATACAAAGAGTATGTAGGCACTGACGCTACTGCAATAGCATTCTGTGCACTATTACGACCAGCACTGTTGTACTTCTGCTTCTACATCCCTCCATAACTCCCTGATCCCAATGCTCACACAGCCTGGGTGTCCCAGTAGTTAAACGAGGCAGAAGCTGAGGCAGGCCTGAGCTCTCCCTCTGCTGTCCTCAGCAAGTGCCACTCCTCCCTCTTGCTAGCAAAGTGCCAAACTGAGCTGCCACACGTGCAGTCTGCTGGTCCTACGTAGGGCTGCACTGATGTAGGAGATGTGCAGCTTGCATTTTTGTATATTTGTTCTGCTGTTTGTTAGTATAACTGTGATCTTTCAATACACTGGCCTATTTCTCACACTCACTTCTAACTTAAGAAGTTCAGGAAAGTTTGTGCTATAGAACGTACAACACAGATCATTCTGTCAAGCTGCTTAACCTTCTGAGACCTCTGTTGAGCAAAAGGAAAATTTCTATGTGGAACTGAGCTGTTAGAGCAGATAAGGTTATTTACTGTGTTTGGATGAAATAGATAAACTAATAAATAGAAGATGAAAGGATGTTACAAGAAAGATTTTGAACACAACTGAAAAAGAAATAGCTAAATTGGTTGCAGTTCATCAGTTCAGTTATTTCTGCACCAGTCTATCAGTTCAGTTATTTCTGCACCAGTCTGTATGCAGATAATAATTTCACATTTTTATAAGTATAACGCAAAAAGTGTCCATGAACAGATTTTGAATGAGTAACTGAATTTGAATGAGTAACTGACAGAGTTCAGCTCCTAACCTTATATCTACTTGACAACCATTCAAAACCTAAAACCATGTAGCGATGTGTTCAGGAAATCCAAGCTTGGGTCTACTACTTCTCATCTAGACAATGGCTAAACTGTCACTAACGTGCAAATCAAGTCTGATGGTTGTATCTTCTCAAAAACACTTATCATTCCCTCGCTGATATTCTTACAGTGAGAATGCCAGTTTTGATCACTACTCTTGTCACATATGTGAAAACACGTTGGACACAATCCAACAAAATAGTGCAGTGTGATCGTACTAAAAACACTCACCTTGCAAACACCCACAGCAATAAGCTCAAGAGGGTGGAACTGACCAAGAGATAAGTTTATGAAGTGCAAAATTAGTAATTTGAATGAAGTGGCAGTACTAAGGCCAAAGAGAATGCAACCAACGGCCCCAAACCTTCGACCAAACGCAGAGCTTCTGATTCCAGTACAAGAAATCGGGGGGCCCTTTTCTACACACCTGCTTAATAACACACCCAAATCCCCAGATTTTGGCCGCACATCCCACACTAAACTCACCTATTCCTCCCTTCAAACTTTACTGTTAGACTGTCCGCTCATCTGATCCGCTGGGGTCTGCCCTGCCAGAGCCGGCTGCCGGCCGGGCGCGCTGCCTCAGCCTGCGCCTCGCCTTCCCGAGGGGCGCTACCCGCGGTC